TATATATATATATATCTTTTGTTTTGTATGAAAAAAATTGCAGTAGTTTATCTATTTCCGCTGAACATAAGCATACAAACAATTGTCTTCACGTAGCCACACATAGAGGATTTAAATTATTTCGTAAAAAATGTAGGTCGCCTGGTATAATATGAATGCCAATTAGTAGAATGGAAATTGAACGTTAAGCATGTTGTATATACTTATTAAGCTTTATCTTCGTTACTAGCGATATCTATAGAGAAAATAATAAAATTTCTCCTAATGTAATAACGATTCTTATTTTTAATATATATTGTAACAGGTAGAAATTGACTAAGAGTTTTTATTATAAAAATATAAAATATAATTGAAGTTTAGTTCAAAATATATCAAGTAAGAACATACTGGATAAATGGTGACGAAATAATAATCATAATTTAGGGGACAGTTAGATGAAAAAGTGACAGTTCATAATAAAATGTAAATTTTGATAAAATCTCAGTTTAAATTAATAAAATGTGTCCATAAAATAATGGAATATAGCAAGAGAAAAATAAAATGGTATTGAAAATGTTAAAATTGAAAAGTATAAATTAAGTAATAATCCGATTGGTTGAAATTGAAAAGGATAGATTAAAAATATATATAATTAGAGATAAGAGTGCAGTGTTAAAAAAATTGGTGGTGATCAAGGAGACGGAAAAGGGGAAAAAAAAAGAAAGAAATCAATAAATGAGAAGAGGAATTATTGTATATCAAAGTCAGAACCAAAAGAACCAACCATCAGTTGCATCCGTTAAAGAGTTGTGTAGGAGAAAGTAGGAGGATCAAGTCGCCGGAGCGGAGGAAGAGATTAAGCAGACAAAGTAAGGAGGATAAGACAGGAGATGAATTGCAGAAATTAAATTAATAAAGAATTCGTGGAGAGAAAATGACAATAAAAAGTGTATATCTAGGTAATAAGAAACTGTAGATTTGTAGAATAAGGTATTTATTAAGAAATAAGTTATCGCAGGCTAGATAGGGGAAGTAGTAGTACTTTTAGAAGAATTTAAGTGAGAATTTTAAATGTTCCAAATATTCAAATCGAATCTGTAAAACGAAAAAATACGCTAAACTCGTACGAAGGTAAAATTAAACGTAAACAAACAGAAACATATGATTTACAGAAATTATCACGGTAAATATAAAATGCGTAATTTTTTTAGCGCAGCCTAATAGAATTAACACTGAAGAACTCCACGGGAAGAAGTATTATTTCGATTGATATTTCACAAGTTGCAAAAAATATCCTTACATCAGTACCGGAAAATGCAAATCCTTAAATCACAGTACCCAGATGGGTACCTCAGATTATTTTTGTCTCCCATATAAAATCATTCAACCAACAGGGTTCCACAGAGCGGCGTCTGTCTCAATTCTTTAATAAAGCGTAACCATCCGTATTAAACTCTTACACTCCTATGGATTGTTATTACTGTTAAAAGTTCCAATACATCGCGCGTCAGTATATTTTTCTTATTTTTATGAGAGAAACTTTAGCCAAAATATTAAATTGAAATTAAAAATTATGAAATTCTATGGTATAAAACAAACTTACCGTGGTAGAACATCCGAAACACATCAGAATCGTAGAGTCCACAGGCTCCTTTTTCTCCACAAGCCATTTTCCAAACCAAACATGCTGAATCTACCACCGCACCATAAACAATCGGGCAAGGAACATTTCCAAATAGCCCTATCGCAAACTGTATCAACCCTAACGCCATCGCTTTATCGGTGGGTTCAACGCATCGTAAAATCAGAAGCATCGATCCCACTTCTGATGTCGAATGTATGAAAACGAATATCGAAAATAATATTATGTACAATATAAAATTCGGGCATTCTAAATCACAGTAGCCTATGGTCGCGTTACCGTAACTAAAATCTTCGTCAAAACCGAAGTTTGTCACATTTGACAAACACATACATTCAGAATAGTGTATGATTTTCCCATCTTTTTTAGTGTAATTTTTGCAACCCGCATGGCATGGAGAGAGATAAGTTTTGCCGTCCTGGCCGCAGATTGGTGCGAATTTATCTTTATTACAGTTGCAATACGATTCGTTGCAATTCAGTTTCATTATGTCAAATCTAAAAGGTTAATTGAGTGAATGATAAATCACGTTATATTTTGGAGGATGTACTAACCCCTGATTACCTTTGAGACCTGCCAAGTCATTCATGGGACAGCCAATAAACATCAATATACCCATTCCTGAAATTGAATTCATACTCGATTAAAAAATTTGCCCTATGTACATAAGAATATTACTCACCTACTGCATAAATAACTGCTGTAAAAGCGATCCATGCCGCGACAAAGCGGGCATTAGGTTTCACCCTCAAAATAAATACTCCACTAATAATAATTCCTAAACCCATAACAAGTATCCCCCCAACTCCTGAAATGAAACAAAATAACACTAACAGGAATTTTAGGTGGTCGTAACTCCATACCTGATATCATATTCGCAGAAGGCGTTGGCAAACGAAACTGAGATTCAAGATATTTTGGTAGAAACGTGTACAAACCAGCAATAGGTAAAATATGTAAAACACTACTGGCCGTACGAAACATTAAAATATCGTTTTTCAAAAGACGTTTCACAGTTTTCGGAAAATCTAAAATAACAATTTATATACCTTCACAGACTTTTCCTACACATTTTAAATTACCTTTTATACTTGGGTGTTTTCTACCAGGATGATGTATTCTATTCGTCCTTTTTGAACTAGACAATCTTTTAGGGAAGGAAAACATAGCTAATGATGCCAGCATCAAAAGTCCAGAAATTAATACCAAGCCTAGCATCAATTAAAACAGTTGATATATGTACAAAAAGTCTAAATGATTTTTTTTTTACCTAACCACCAGGCTCCCACCCATCTTGGATCTGTTGTATCTATTTTTGGATCTACAGACAAGTCCGCATAGACACTGGTACACAGGGATCCTACAATGAACCCTAGAGCTGGCCCCAGTATTCTTACACCAATCGTTATTGCTATTAGGAGAAAATAAGATAGTGAGGATACCGGAGCACTATTTTAATACATTTAAATTTTATAACAACGAATACCTCCATTCAGATGATATATATATAAATATATTTATTTTCTTGGGAATTGGGTTCTGGTGTGATAGTCAGTTAAAAAAAAAGGATAAAAAACAGCAGCGATTTCTTTCTTGATGTTTCGTTCCTGATCAGGAACTTTTTCAAAAGGCTTTTACTATTAAAATTGTTATAATTAATAAAATTAAAACCTAAACAACAACCATTTTACGTCAAAATTTTAAAAAATATGCATCAATCGTCATACAGTGGACATATTTTCATAATATAATATTATCTTTTTTCATTTTAAATTTGAAAAAGGCCTGCATTTTTTAATATTGTAAATGTGTCTGGATAATACTTTTAGTCGGCAATGTGGTACGTGGATACGATGAAAATGAAATGAGCAGTATAATAATTATTATGATAAATTCGAACAGGTAGTACGCCTGGTGGCGAAATTTTGTAAATTAAAGACAGAAAGGACATCTAGTAATTTTATTTGAAATTATATTTTAAAAGTATAGANTACAATATATATATATATATATACTCACCAAAGTATAGCGGAGATTCCTTGCTGGCAACATTATCATCTATGTAGGGAATTCCCAAAGTGTAAACTGCGGTTTGACCCATACCAACTCCAAGCAAACTAATGAAAAATATGGCTAAAACTATATTAGTAACTGACGGTTGTATCCGATGCCCTGTCGTGATTTCTTCCTCGCAGGTTTGCAAAATATTTGGCGTCCCTACGGTGCCGTATTCCGTATAAGAAATATTGCTTATAGATTGCAAAAATAGCGTTGAATTTGGGGTATGAACTTTACAAACGTTGGGTTCCTTAGTAATCCCTGTCAGATCATTTGCGTTGATCAGTTGCCTGCCGTATATGAAATGTGGCAGGGAACAAGTAAATGAAGACACGGCAAACAAAACCATACCCCATGCTATCCATTTAGGCCTATGACCTTGACCACCGTAGTAAGTTAAAAGCAGTGAAGACCCGATTTGTCCGATCTCGGTGGCACTCATAATTATCCCAGTAATTTTTGACTGAATTTGAAACAGTTTCTCTATCGTAGTTATTGCACTTACAAAGTACGTATGATACATACCTTGCAAAACCCATGCTATACAAAACACTATTAAAAAAGCTTGTTTCGATGCGAACCTCTGTAACCAGTTCGGGGCACATGGCCCCAAACCGCACTCAGTATCACTGTCTATGTCAGATCTGAGGTCGCCATTGCTTCTGATTATATCTGCTCTGTGATGGTAATGGTCGTTATCTTGAGTTAGTGATGTTTGTTCTTCTGGTATGTTGCTTGATCTCAGACGGGAAGAGTCATTATTGTTGCTCATTTTTTCAGGCAGCATGCTGTGATTCTCCGAACGATCTTCTTCGCTAGACATTGTATCAGTCTTATACGTGATGCTCTGTTACTGTGATGCGTGATATGTGACGCGCTAGGTAGGTAGCCTTTACTTAAAAAATGCGCTGCTCCTAGAACAAAAAATAAATTCTAAGCACAAAGTTCAAATGAAATAAACAACATTACTAATTTCAAATATTTATAATAAGACGCGAGACTATAAAGCGAATGTGGAAATGAGTTCCTGCAATTCACTGAAGTCTATATTAATTTTTGAAGATTATTAGGTTGTTATTGTCTGGTAACTACATTTAAACTAGTTTGAATGTTTCTTTATGAACAAAGCGGTAATATTTAATATTGATTAAAATGGTTTTTCCTTTTCAAGGTCAAATTCTTTGTATTATAATATGTATGTATATACCTACGAACCTATGAACTATTCTTGGACATTTTAAAATTAAATCTGCATCATAACATTATAATTATGTGTTGAGAACGCGTTAAGAATAAGATATTTCGTGAACAAAAACTAAATAAGAGAATATTTAACAGCTACAGATTTAAATTATCTCCTTATTTAAAATTGCGGTTCGATTGGTCAAAAATAACCTTGAACTGAAAATAATTTAATCAATTGCAAGACCTAGATTGACGTATATGTTAAATATGTTCTCAATAAATCTTGAAATAGGCGATATAAGGTTTATATTACCCTAGAATGCAGGTAGGTAGGTATTAGGAGTCTATTTTAAGCAGGAAGATCATCGCACCTGCGTTGTACGTCACATACGTTTGATTTGATTACTTATCCTATTGGTTAATATCATTTACATAAAACCATATTTATTATAAATTTATTGCAAATTTTGTGTTTTAATAAAAATGTCAAGTTATATAGGTTAGTTCGTAAGTACATTTAAAGTAATCTAAAAATATGCGTGAAGCAAGTGCTATTAATAGTGACAAAATTATTAACGTTCTATTTAACTCACTAGAAATTACCGATGTGTGAAAACGTTAATAGAACTATACATGTACATCATCGTTCATATGCAAAAAATAAACTGACCTGCAATACTATTTGTTCGATCTGAAGTAACCACACTATAGAAGGTCAACGACACCAGCAAGCAAGTAGAATTATGTAAATAGGATAAACGTAGACCTAATTAGTTTAATAGAAAAATGTTTAATGGCCCGACAAGATTCGAACATTTCGGTCGATGTGGCCAAATAGTTTTGTTACACATGCCTCATAAAGGTTATATTTCCATGTGACGAAAACGTGCTCCATGGTTTCAGATGCAGGCAAAAATTAATATGGTAGATGGGAAATAGAATACAATAACGTAATTTAATTAATGATCTCTTCTCTGTTTGAGACGCTAGTTTTACTTTCTTCAAAAAAAATAATAATAATAATAATTCCATCCATTTGGGTTCACCAAGATGAATCTATAACTCTTATTACCTAAAATACAAATGTTTTATTTCAGCTTCATATTGTAATCAGGGTAGTAGCTGGAAAAGTATACTTTACGTACTGCCCCCCTGCCCTGGCTACGACCCGGTATAAAATACATTATTCTGTAGATAACAAATAAGTTTATGATAGGAAAAATTCAAATACTTCTCATAATATTTAATGAACTTGGATATTCAGTCCCAATCATCAAATATAATATATATATAAAACCCTCCCAAAAAAAATTAAGCGGCTGTCTAATTGAAAGTTAAAAACCAAATTTCATTTTTGTACGGGGATGCAGCCAAGGATAAAAAAGTTACACTCTTTTAAATTTTCAAGCTTTCGAAACTATTTTGTTTCTAAATCAGGAAAAAATATTGCATATGAAGTTAGCAAACATGATAGGTCACCTACCGCGTCCGCGGGCATAGGTTATTATTATGTCAAGTAAATAAAGGTAACGGTTTAAAAAAGGAAATTGTACAATTATAAAAATTATAATATTCGTAACTACGGAAGACTAGTCGAAATCAAACAAATTGATGATTCAAAATATAGCTTGAAAATTTAAAAGAGTGTAACCTTTTAATCCTTGGCTGCTATATAATATTATACATGTTGCAAATAAGAAATTGCAACATGTGAAACTGCTTTTTCGAAATTGATGTTACTGTTACCTAAAATGTATGTGCAAAATTTGGGCAACTATAAAATCAGTTAATAACCTTACTGGTGTAACCTTGAATTTATGTGTGTGACAATTAAATTTAAATAATCTTATACCTATCAACGCTGAAAGTCAATGTTTTATGAATTAGAATTGGAAATATGTCTGCCAAATTGAATTTACAAATTGTTTAAGGTAAATATCTAGAGATGACGATAGTGGCGATGCGGTTTGGTAACTCAATAGGTAGCAAAATGGAACTTTTTAAAACAAACGTGATTGTGCATCACGCGAATATTTAACATGGCCTTGACCATGGCGCTGATATAACTGCATTGTAAAAATGTTAAATTATATGTAGCTTCTAAAGGTACATTTTCAAAAATTTGGAATATTTAAAATTTACTAATTTATTAAGAATATACCTATTTAAAATAAACGAATTTAAATACAGTGATTTTTTTTAAATCCTGAGACGGTTTGATATTATAAAAAAAATAAGATAAAGAGTACATGTACAAGATGCTACGAATTAAGTATGTAGTATCTTATGCTTTGAACGTTATTGTTATTATTATGAACTATGAACTTATTTATAAACATTAATTACTTGAAATTGTACTAAACGGATAGAGACAATCTGCATCTATCAATAATTGTATGTCCAGACTAGGTATACAATCTCAGATCTCAATTTAAAACAGGAGCAGTTTGTTATTTTCTTTTACAGTTCCAATTTATGACTTACTACTTAATTTTGCAACACTTGATCCTTTTATTTAATTATTGTCTCTTCTATGTAGTCCAACACTTTTATATTAAGAAATAATTTGACAAGTACTAACTACGCCTCTGAAACTGAATTCACTGTTTTGTTTTACCACATTAAAAAAATATCAAGTTCTGAAAAACTGTCAAAAAAATAAAGCAAACCACACAAGTTATTAATCCATATTGCCTTCTCAAACTGCTCACATACAAAAAACATACTTACATACTTACACGTTACGTTGCACCATATTTCAATATTCCCAAAATCACTGAGAGGCCCTTCCCCTGTAATTTTATAATTCCCCTAAATTCGTAAATTTACCTATATTTTTAAATATGTATTTTTTGGCAACTTACACGCGAAAATAATGACATAATCTTCTGCTGGTTGGTTTGAAGATAGTTATTTTGTTCTTAAAATATGAATATAGGATAGTTTAAGGAGATAACGGAAATGGGTTATCAAATCAAATTAACATACTTAGAATGTACTGTGCCAATATTTTGTAAGAATGATAGTAAGAATATGTGGACAACATTAAAAGAAATAGTAGGTAATAAGGACACCAGTACATTGCTAAATACAGTAGAATTTAGTAATAAGTTGCACACGAGACCAAATAACTTTAATAATTATTTTGAAAAGACAATTGCTGAAGATATTCCGGTTGAAAACTCAAATTTTATAAATAAGATAAAGAGCAGAGAAAAACAGCTATCCTTTTTTCAACAAATTAGTTTGTCTGAGTTAAAGAAAATAGTATATAATTTAAAATAACAAAAGCAGATAACAGTGAAGGTAATAAAAAATTTGTTTCAGGTGATTGGCTATCCGCTCTTAAATATGGTAAATACATCCTTGGATACTGGAATAGTCCCGGATAAACTAAAATGTAGTTTAATTATACCAATACCTAAATGTGCAAATCCTAATAAACCTGAACAATGTAAACCAATTAATATTTTACCCGTGGCCTAGAAAATATCGGAAGTGGTAGTGTATGAGCAGCTAGATGACTACGTACGTAAATAAAAATAACATATTATACATAGGGCAGTCTGGCTTTCGACAATCTCATTCGTGTGAAACAGCGATTCAGCTGGTGTGTTCTCAGTGGAGGCAAGTCATAGATCAGGGTAAAACAGTACTAAGTGTGTTCGTAGATTTCCAACGGGCATTTGAGACGATTGATAGGGTGATATTACTAAAAACGGGCATTGGAGTGGCTTCGGTCCTACTTGTCACCAAGGTATCATGTGAATGGTGAAGTGTCGGAGAGAATTGAAAGCGAATATGGTGTTCCGCAGGGGAGTGTGTTGGGACCACTTTGTTCTTGATTTATATCAATGACTTGAGTAATGTTTTAGCTAATTCATATCTTAATTTGTTTGCTGATGATAACACCTTGATTTCCATGTGTGGTGAAGACTGTTATGAACTTGTTATGTTAATAAGATGAATGCTGAATGAAATGTTTTCTATCACTGGTTATGTGACAATAAATTGAAATTAAATACAAATAAAACAGAATGTATGGTTTTAGGCAAAAAATCTAGATGTGCATTATTTGAAGAAAAAAAGTTAACGGTAAAAATAAAAAGTGAAAATATTGAATTTGTTAATGGAATTATGTAGGTACCTACTTAGGTATTATAATGGACCCTCAATTATCGTTCCATAATCATGTAAACGATATGCGTAAAAAAATTGGTAAGAAAATCGGTTATTTTAACAGGATTTTCAAAGATCTTTCATATTGGAGTAGGTATATAAGACAATAATATATCCTCATTTTAATTATTGTATGTCTCTATTAATGTCTTGCACAAAATTCATGTTGGATACCCCAAATTGGCTCAATATTGGTCAGGTTATTGAGCAATCAAATTTAATTTTAATTTATAAAATTGTAAATAAATTAACTCCGCCATACTTACATAATATTATTCGTACAAAATCTGAAATTCATTCATATTACACAAGAAACAATGATATCTTTCATATAGAGAAGACTAATGTAGCCTCTAGAAAACACATCTTCAATTAAGGAATAAAATTATTTAACGGTCTTCCGAATGTTGTTAATGGGTTGCGAATATAGGAATTTTTAAAAAAATGCTGAAAAGTGTGTATTTTGGGTTAGATGCTACTAGATAAATGTATTTCTGTTTGTAGGTTTATATATAGAATAGAATAGAATAGAATAGAATAGAATAGAATTTATTGACTTTTTTATATACATGAAGTACATTTATAGTCTAGTCCGAGGTAAATAGGTGTTAGTAGTACAGTATTCAACAAATTCAACAATACTGTAAAAACAATGCTGCAACAGAAAGGATTTGATAAATCTACGAAAAGCTTCATTTGATAAATGAGTAATACGTTTTACTTTACAGAAGTTGTCAAATTTATTGTACAGGTTTATATCTAGCTTATTAGTTTTAGTGACATTAATACGAGAAAAAGGTAATATAAGATTTCCAGCATATCTGGTATTGTAGCTATGTACATCAGAATGGGTTTGCAGTTGAGTTGTATTCTTATGGACTAACGATAATGCTTCATACACATATAAACAAGGTAAGGGCAAAATATTATATTTAATAAATAGTTCTCGACAATGGACCCTACCAGTGGCATTGCCGATAAGGCGAATATAGCATAATGTTTCCTCTTAAATTTTATGTATTATGATTTTTGTAATTTGTACTTGCTGAGCTAAACAAAGACACTTACTTTCTTAAAAAAAAATATATAGTAATGTGTTATTTATTTCACGCACTGTAATAAGCTATGTGCTTATATTCTTATTACTTAGATGACGTCATACATTTCACATATTTCAATCTATTCAATAAAAATACTTACTACTATCTTTTTAATGTTAATCTGTTGAATGTTAATACATATTGCATTTTAATATTGTAGGTGCAATAGAATTAAGAAAAACCGCCTTAACTTTTCACCTCGTTTGTTATCTGTATAAGTACTACCAGGATGAAAAAAAAATGTTTTCTGCTTTGTAATTCATACATATTTTCAAATCACAGACTTATATCTACAGATATTTTATTTACAAAGTACGTATATAAACGGCTTATAAAACAGGATGTGAATTTACTTTTGGTAAACGTAAAATAAATTCAAGGCACAAGCTCCTTGATGCAACATTTTGGGGAACACGTCAAATGGATGGAAGACTATATTTCGCATCATGTGGTAATAACTATTACCTATTTATTAGAATAGTATGCATATTTCAATAAATATTGTCAATGATGAGTAGGTATGGGTTCTTTATACGTATTTGCATTTTTGGGATATTCAACATAAATTTTCTTAATAATTCAAAAAAGTGAAACCGATCTGTATTTGATACAGGCGCCAGATATCTAAAAAGCGCGCGCGTGCGCACGTGAAAATTGATTTTGGTTGGTGGGCCAAACTCGCGCACTCATATGCCGTGTGACTGTCTACTAGCCGTCTCGTTTACGATGCGACAGCAATTTCAAGAAAGCAGGAAAGTATGAAAAAGGAGGTACATATTATAATTAGGTACGACATTGGCAGCGCAGACACTCAAACAAAACAAGCTACAGTCAGTGGAAGTGAAATGATTCTGTAGAAAGAGAAAGGCAGTTTAGATGAAGTGATTCCGTCTCACCTGATCATTCATTTCTCTAGGTATTGGTATTACATTACAAACAAAGGGTAGGTCGATTGGAGCAGCGCAGTGTTAACGTCAACAACGCTAGATAAAATCGAGACATCAATAGTCAATACCATACCAGCTATAGAGGAGACATCTGTAAATTGAACAGCGGCGATGCCAGTCGTGGGCACGACACAGACACGTTGTTACAATCAAACGCGACGAGTGACGAGGCAGGCTCGCCGACGACGAAACAAACGACAGACGAAAAAGACGAAAGTGTCTGAAGTAATAAGCAGCGAAGCGAGCCGAACGGAGACCACACTGTGCCGCGGCACACGGCGACCGGCAATACTTTATTACTTTCTCTGCTGCGCGCTCACCAGATCCACGAGCACACCCTCCTACAGCGGTGTTTCCCAAACACTGCGGAGTGCGGTCCCCTCCGGCCTTACGAGCACATCGCAGCGCACATATGACTTTCTAGGTCTGTGGTATCCACACACACACACAAACCGATTATGTATATATCTTATAACATGAGAATAACCTAAACATGGGCTATTTTTCGATCTCCCTGCAATAGCTATCATATCATTTATCTGTGCTGTCCCAATTTCTTCAAATCGAATTAAAAATAATTTTTCCGATGGGTTCATTAAAACGTTATTCAAAAGTCTTCCTTTTTACGATTTTCATCGAAATATGAAATTTTCCATATACTTAAATAGGTAAAGGCCAATAATACGTGGCATATTTAATTCATTTGGATTTCTTATCATAAATTATGAGAAGCTAATTTATGCTGCCAAATTTCACTAATGGCATATGATTTTACACAACGAAGTATGTATGTATGTATTATTCTCACCACAGGATTAAAATATTTTCGCATATGTGTATTAGGTACCTATAAACAACAAAAATATTTTCCCAGGCAACTAAAGCTCGTTCCGGATTGTAGAGCTTTAAGCGGAATATTTCGAATTATTAAGCACATACTTTACAGTAAAACCCTTGTAAAACTAAATAAATAACAGAATGTGTGAAGAACGTCATATTCGAAACCACTTACATATGTAATGTCTTTAAACTGTTTCCAATATTTGTTTATTTAAATCAAGTAAAGTAACTTCAACACCAAAGACTAAATCAATATAAAGTCAAACTGATATTTTGTCATTCAAAATCTGACTAATCGATTAAACTTGGTCGATCACGTGGTACAGTCGAATAGAGGTCGAAAACTATCGATATTAGAACCATAAAAACCATCGATAACTATCGATTATCGATAGTTAAATGCTGTAATTATAGGTTATAGTTATTGGTATAAAGTCTTCTACGTGCATTGGAAGTAGGTACTCTACAGAAGCGAGATTAAGCTGATTTAAAGTGACTAAATTGGTACCTAAATTGGCAATATAAGAAAATAAATCGAGTAGTGAGGAATTTTTAAATAAAAGCTGCCACAACCCCCCTTCCTACGACAGCAATAAAACCTAAATCCAAAAAATGCATCTCTACCTAAAATAAAACATTTCACTATCACGATCAAAAACAAAAAGGTGTTGACAATGTAGGAATGTGATATTCTCTTTAATTTGTTAGTTTTACTTTCAAATGTTAGGGTTACTTGTGTTTCGTTGTTACATGCTATTCAGTACAAATTGCGAAGAATGATCGCTTTACGAATATGTAACTACACATTTACGTGTAGTTACATGTTTATTTAATAAAGACAGGCTTACATGTAAATTCTTTACAAATCTAGTATCTTTATTTCTTTGCACGATATATGTAGTTTTATTGTCGAAAGTCCACAGCAAACAATGATAGGTAAAAATATTTCTTACATTCAAAAAACCTGTTTCCTTGTATAACTGATCAGTTGAATAAAATTTATTTCTTTCAAATATGATTTTTATTATGGTGTTTTCAACAGCTTGAACATTATGTAAGAAGGTGTTAAACTTACTTAAACCACCCCATGCTGTTATACAATACCGTATGATTGATTCTGTTAAAATAATATTGCATGGTTAAATTCTGCTGTGATAAAATTTGTCTGAAAGTGTAAAATTGGTGTGCTAGTTGCCTAAGCTTCCTTGATACATAAAAAGTATGCTCATCCCATCTTAGGTGCTGATCCAGGATAATACCTAGGTATTTAATGTCATGTCCTTTCTGTATATGAGGAAACCGACAATCATTATTGTTAGAACAATAACATAAACATAAACATAAAACACACCACAGAAATGAGACAACCCCCAAATCCAAAGTCAAAGGCTGTGCGGAAGGGGGTTACACCTGAAAAAACGAGGACAAACACCCATTATCCATCGGCATTGCCAGTGCCGGTGCCAGGGATCGAACCCGGACCAGAATAGGAAGCCTGGCCGAGAAAAGCCGAGCACAATCAGTGGTATGAATTTTTCTTAATTTATTGAAGTCAAGCCACATTTGCATTTTTTTAAATTCAGATTCAGCAGTATTATACAGATCAGACCAGTTATTACCAGAATAAATGAGTGCAGTCAGCATACGAAATAAGATGACCTTCGAAATTTTCTATGCAACTGATACTATTAATACCGGGTAGGAAAGTACCGATGGTCTATCTGAAGTTACGTGAGAGCGATAAAGTAAGCCATAGAAATTCATGCGATAGAGAAGGATGGCTATAATGAAGGCGTCTCATAGTCACCGCCCGTTTCGCCCTTCCACAAATAAGATCCACTTCTTATTTGTGGAAGGGCGAAATGGGCGGTGACTATTAGACGCCTTCACTATACCCATCCTTGTCTATCACATGGATTTCTATGGCTTATTTTATGGCTCTCACGTAACTTCAGATAGACCATCGGTACTTTCCTACCCGGTATATACAAGGAATAATATAGTTTATTTATAAAATATTATTAATAAAAATAAACTGCATTATAATCATCGTTTTTATTACACCTGAAATTTCTAAAATAACTGGGTCCTTATTCAAATTTTTGCATTACATGCTTATAAAACTATTGAACCTTAATTATACCTGGATAAATTTGTCAAAAAAAAACTAACTTATTTATTAATTGTAATAAATTACTTTTGTAGTGATAACAGATGATAGCTGTCAGTGATTATCATGTAAAAAATGTATCAAAAATTCTGACTATATCACACAGGACTTCTCGTCAAAATTTAGTAAAAGCTTAATTACAATTAACAGAGTTAGGGAGGCTAGAAGTTAAGGGAAGATTTCAGAAATTTAAAAAAAATCATAACAAACAGAAAAATTATTGAATTTTGTAATTTTTTTTTTCAATCTGCACTAAAATATGTAACTTTTCTTTTCAGAGAAATAGATATATTTTTTAATTTTTAATAAGAAAGTTATAACAAAAAATCAAATTTTTAATCGTTAATTTTAATGATTTAACAAAATTAAATTTCTGAAATCTTCCCTTAACTTCTAGCCTCCCTAACTCTGTTAATT